GGGTCATGCCTACGCAAAACCTTGCCGAGGCAGCGAGGGGAAGAAAGGAAGACTATAGTGTGCTGATGTGAGAAACAACAATTACAATTCGACTATAGCAGCATCACCCCCCTTGTCCCGCATATAACCAAAATGAATGTGTGTCGACTACAGCGTGCTGCTGTCTGAAGTGCTGTCTGTACAATAATAACACCATGGTGCATGGTACACAAGCTCGGGGCATGCAGCTGCTGTCTGAATTGCTGTCAGAATGAGTCCATGGACATACATTGAAGAGAACACCCAACCAAAGCCATCATTGCAATTGACAATCATCACCCGAATCTATCCAGATCATCTGTGTTAGGCACAGCAGTATAAACATCGACACTGACTAGGAATCGCTCCAGATTGAAGGGGTCTTCCACGATGCAGGTACACAATTAAGGTACCCGGGTTATCCGCGCCATCTCTGCCGCGTCTCTCTACAAAACCAGTGACGTCATCACACATACCCAACACTTATTATTTCTATTTTTATTTTTTGCCTTCCGACAATTGTAGATGTACCTCAGAAAACTTTCACTTAATGTCTGATACTCTACATGAATATAATACCAATACCAAGTACAACAACATAATATGTAGGACTTGTTTCTACTGTCACTTACATCGTAAAAATATCTCCTCTTCAATTTGAAATAAAACCAATGACAATCCTCATGGTATCCTACATGCGTTCGTAAGCTTGCTAAAATACTACTGCGTTGATGTCCTCTTGTAACAGCTGATATCCAACAAATGCTTTGATCCATGCTACATCTCCGTGTTGGAAAAACCCTTTCTTCTCCGTTCATGATAACATCTTACCCTATTCTACGCAAATCTGTCACATCTACTCTCAAACAAGACGCCAACTTCAAACAAAAACGCGTTCTACGATGCGTCTACACTCCATCCCCATATCATTGGCGTTGACTGGTCCGAGGTCGATCTTGTTCGCCTGTTTTCGGCGTCTTGACGCCCGCGCAATGCGAGCTTGTACCTCTGCACTCGCCGAGATATGGCCACCTGTGTAGCCACCGAAACGATCTGAAGAAGTCGTTCCTTGAAGACTCCTTTCAGATCCATCGTTCCTCCGTCCCTTCCTCCCACGGCATGTGTCGCAAGTTCATCGATGAACTCGTAACCCTCCCCTCCAAGGCGGCCAAAGCTTTCCACGGCTAAGGTGGTAAGTTTAAAGCTTCGTTCGTCAAAGGACACGTGTCCCGGACGAGCGTAGTGCTGACGCTTTCGCGCCTCGGATGCTTGGGCTGCGATTCCATCGCTGGTCGCGCTGCCGTTCCGCAAGTGTACCTGTGCTTGCGGGTCTGCGTGTGTGACATCGAGGAGTATTCCTTTGTTGCGGTACCCCGGAGAAGATGCGTTCGTGAGGGCTCCTGGCCTGATGACGATGTCCATGCTCAGGTTTTTTTCCCCCGTGAACGGTGCCCCGCTTTCAACATCGTGTTTGACGCGAAGGCCGTTGAGTGCTCTCGATAGTGCGTATTTTAACGGCTCGTGCATGTTGACCTGTGCTCCATCCCTTGGACATGTCCTTGCGTGCACCGTTGTGATGATCTCGCCTTCCCTGCCTCTGTGGCACCTGGGACATCTTTCCGCCAAGAATTCTTCAACTCCCAAGGCGCGTCTCGTCGCGTAGACGAATTCGTTCGATGGAATCTCTCGAGCTCGGTCGGTGGGAGCCGCTCTCAGGAACGCGCGGCCCCCTTGCCCTTGCGAGCTTCTCGTTCGTGCGTATGCCATGTTCCTGGCCTCTTGACCTCCGTAGGGGTTGTCCCTCGCGGGTGGTACCGCCTCCTGAGGGAGGTGCTCCAGAGACTCCATGAACTTTTCAAGTTGTATCTTGTTAACCGCCTTGCCCAGTTTGTGCTGGGCTTTCCTCGGCGTGGTAGATTCCCCATCGTGTGCTGCCAGTTCTGCAGGTCTGACGCCTTCCGGTTTCTCCTGGCGGTTCTAAGGCCCACTCAACTCATGACGGGGGAAGGATCCCCTTCAGAATCTCCACCGATACTCCATGCTCCTGGTTGAGTTCTTTGATAGCGTCCCCCATCCGCTCCACCAACACGGTTCCCAGTATCCGAACTCCCACCGACTCTCCCAATGGACCCCGTAACGCGGCTATAACCGCAGGAAGGGTGCCGACTAGGTTACCCAGAGAAGCTGAGAACCTTCGCATAACGGCTGCCTGTGATCCTAGTCCTCCGGCTCCTGTCGACAGGCGCGCCTGGGCTTGTTGATAGGGCTTTAACTTGAAGCGGTCAGGCTGGCGGTTGTCTTGGAAGAACACTTCTTCGTCTTCGGTATCTCTGAGCCCCATCGTTGCCTCTAGGACCCACATCACCATATTGTCCAGGCGTTCACAAGCCCCTCTCACTAGCTTATGATTGATGCCTCTCTCGATATATCCGGATCGCTGTGTCAGCGATTGTGATGTGACGAGGTGCGCCACCTGTTTGTCTGGCATGCGCACCAGCATGCGAGCAAGCTTGTCTGCACCCCCTTCAGTTATCACTTTCATTGCGAAATCCTCGACGTAGGCATCCGTCCCAATGGGGACTCCCACAACTGTGATGCCCTCCTCCGCAATCGGTAGGCCTGCATCGCCAAGTAGCCTCCTTTCTGCTGGTGTCACGTCGTGCCCTCGTGGGGCAAGCGCTGAGCTCTTCCCCCTGTTGACGATGATGCCCACTGCTTCTAGTTCGTCGACGAGGTCCGGTATCACCAACACTTATTATCAGGAATTTATACGGAAAATAATTGACAAAACAAAAGATGTTTGTCCGTGCGCCAGGGTTCGATGCCGTCCGCCTGCTCCGGTGCCGCTGCTCCGGTTCCGCTGCTCCAGTGCCGCTGTGGCCAGTCCTAACACGACCAAAATCGACCCCCTCCGCTTCGTACACGTTCAGAAAGCCTCTCGTTGCTGTCCTTCCCAGTCGGTTCCTCGTTTTTTCCCTCGTTGCGCTTAGGGTTCTTGGTCTGAAAATTCTCGCACCGAAGGGTCAACCAGCCCAATCAGCCCGTCACCACCAGTCCCCTCCTCCATTGATGGCAAAACCAGGTTACTGAGACAGTACAGCTCCCTCTAGCAAACCCAGGGCCGTGTACATAGTGCCCGTCCACCTTTCTGATGATGTCTGCCTCCGCGCACAAAGATGAGATAGGCATTGCTGCCTACACCGACGGCCTGGAGGCCCGCGCATCTGCACCTTCGTCCCTGACGCACCAGGGTGCCGACCCAACTCCACCACTACGCACGCCTCGCGGCGGGTGCGCCGCAGCAAGAAGGTATCGGTCCCTTGAGGGTGTGTCTAGCCCTGTTCGCTAGAAAGCCCCCCCCCTCGCTATTGGTCATGCCTACGCAAAACCTTTCCGAGGCAGCGAGGGGAAGAAGGGGAACCAACCATGAAGTGAGCAGAACATCTACACAACAAAAGCTGTGGGACTCGGAACGTTTTGCAATATTTGTTGCATATCTATCTCCGGTGCAGCAACATCACCAGCGGACCCATTGCATGAGTAGAAACGGGCCATAGTGTCTTGACAGCACAGAGACTACGACTGGCCAGTCAGCCAGTCACGGAAAAACTCAATTTGCAGGGTGGATGCATGAGATCATGCCATAAAAAATATTCGGCGGACCAACAAATATAACGGAGATTACGGAGACCTCGCACGACCCTCTGGCATACAATGGTTGGTGGTCACTTTCTCAGGGTGGGGCTTGTTCAACCCGCCATGCCGTCATTCATCGCTGCGAGGTCGGCCCGTACCTTCTTACTTCACGGACAAGGAGCAGCGTCTCCAGAGGCCACCATAGCTAGGGCAGCATCCCGGCCTTTGTCTTGTCTTGTCTTGTCTTGGGTAGAGGATGACGACACGCAAAACAGGGAACCAGCACACCCAAAATGTACACGAGGTGGGATGCGGCGGAATAGTTTCAACTTTGGAGGTGTGCCTGCGTCTCGCAGCTGCCCCTCGCAGCTCAATCAGAGTCCTGTGGAGTGTGATCACCTTTCCACGAGCACGGAAGGACATGCAACATATCTAAGAGTAACCTAACCTTCATGCCTTGTCTCTGGTTGCGTCACGATTGGCACATCAGCAGTTGCCTTGCTAAGTGACTGAGACGCACAAAACAATTCACACACAGCACCAGCGGCAAATAGCAAGGACCTGTGGATTCCTCGGGGATCTTTGCCCTGTGCACCCCTTCTGCTCATTGCGCACGATTCTACTGTGCCTTTCATGCTTTTGTACCCTCTGTCGTCGGCTGAGAGTGGCTACGGACTTGCCGACTCTTGGCGTGAACTGCTGTGGCTTCTACAAGTCGCGGCTGGGCGCTTACCACGAAAGGCGGCGTTTGCGCGTGCGACGATCGATGCAACAAGAGCTTGGAAAAACGACGTGCTTGCCTCCTGGATCATCCGATGTTGCAAATAGAGAGTGGGGCAATGTAGCATAGCAGAGCGGAGAGCATGGGGCTTGTTGTGAGTGCCTACCATGTCTCGACTTCCGTTCTGTGGAAAATTGTGGAGGGCGTGATGTTTCTACACACACATGGCGGAACAGCATGGTCCGTTCATGAGGGATGCACGACCGTCTTGATTCAAGCAAAAATCCCACAAACCGGCAGCTAGACTAGACTCGTCTAGCTACACGAGAGATATAGCTCTATCTGTGTGCGTTTTTTGGTAGGTCAGTCAGCACCTGGCAGGCCCACCTTCCCGTTGTATCTACAAGCTGCCAGCCATTCCACCACAGGCAGCCAGGCGGCACGGTAGAGCAAGGAATCCTTCTTTGCTACGGGTACAACAATTCTGCAGTTATACCTCTCGCAACCAAGGAATATATGTAGAAATTTCCTATTCTTCCGCATCTCATCACTGTAACTTTCGTACGTACGTACATAGCATCTCAACCGTCATACTATGCTACGAGTACCCCCAATATATCTATCAGATGCCCCACAACACCAAAAAGCAACAGGGAACTCCCTATTCACGAAGTTGCGTGTGCTGTGCTCTGATCCTGTACCCCAAATCTGCTGGTACCAGGAAGCTGTTGCGGTTTTATTTGGTATCGCACCTGTTGGGTCATCGCATCAGGGCCTGCTGAAAGTGTGCGGGCCAGGGCACCGGGGTGCATAGGTTCTTACATCACTATCTTGTTTTTTTACCCCACTCTAGTGCCATATCGTACACCATCGTACTCGGTGCGGGAAAACAATTAAATCATTTCGCCCTACATGTACCTACATGTAGCTGACGACTACGGTGATGTCGGCCGCTGCTGAGACCGCGCCGCTGGCGAGGTGCGCACGAGGGCAGAGAGGCTGGTACACGAGCGAAGCGCAGCACAAGGTCTCCGAAGCGTCTAAAGAGATTAAGGCGGCCCAGCAGCAACTGCGTGAGGCCTCAATAAACAGCGCCTTCGAGGCAACCCTGACAGCGATGCTCAAGGCCGCGCGGAAGAAGCGCAGCATCGCGAGGTGGAGAGCACTGGAAACGTTCTTCGAGGGCTATGTACGGCAGCCCGAGAAGAAGAGCCGCGAGGGGGATCAGGCGGGTTTCTACAGGCACCTGAAGATGATCGACGTCGAAGGTAAGAGGTCGTTCACCTCTCAGAATATCAAGGACGAGGACGGCAAGGTCCTTCGGGACCCCACGTTTATTCGCCAACGGTGGGCACGGTGGTTCCACAAGCTTCTCAACACCAAGTCGCCGACCATCGACCTGCATGCGGCTGACAAGGTCAAGCGGTGGCCCACGTGCGTGCCACTCGACGGCATCCCATCTCTACTTGAGGTTGAGGAAGCGGTACGGGAAATGGCCAACAGAAAGGCCGTCGGGCCGGACGACCTACCGGCTGAGCTGATCAAGCTTTTCCTGGACGGAGATCAAGGTCTCCCCCGCGAATTCCACGCCATTGTCGTGGACGTGTGGCAGACTGGGGACGTACCACAGCAGTGGAAGGATGCCACCATCAAAGTGCTGTTCAAGGGGGACACGATGGAGTGCGGCAACTACCGGGGCATCTATCTCGTCG